GAAAAAAAAAATGCTAACTTGCTGATGCTGAGAAGACATAATGTGTACTCATCATCTTATATTACTATGCTTACATTTGCATTACACGTTTCCTTAAGGCTGCACCATAAACAGCATTTGTTTCCTCCAACAAGCCGTTTAGGACAGAGAGTGAATACACATACTGTACAGAGATGCTGTATGAGAAACCAATGTGAGTTTGGAAAATTGCACAATTTAAATCTATTCTAGCAGACCTCAACAATGGAATTATGATCAGTAGAAATGGCCATGACATGGGACCTTTAAGTTAACATGTTGAGTGTAGGACAGTCAAATAAAGCAGTTTCAATAATTTGAAATAATCATAATAGTGGTAATGAATATAAATTCACAACAACACTTAATAAATTTCAATGATGAGTTTTGATTTTTGATTTGAACATATCAAAACTCTTTCTGGGTAGCAACTAGAATAAAATATCGACATGTCAAAAAAGTTGTTATTTTATTTTTTGATATTTCAGTCTGTTGCTACATTTAAGCACTTTTTGTTGCCGACTGTCCCTGTAAAACATTGATATCCAAAACTAAAACGCCTGCTGTTCTCCTCACAGCGGACCACACTTTTACTGATCTCCTGCTGGATCTATAATTGTGCCCTCAGAAAGTTTCGATCTATTGTGAGTTGTTTTGTTCTCTCAAAGCATAATTTGAGTAGGCACAACAGTGTCTCTAATGCCGTAATTAGTGGATCCTTTGCTGTGTTGTTATGCTGTGGTTTTCTCTGCTGCTTTCAGAAATCCTCCCACTGGGTACTGTAGTTCTGCTTCTGGAACAGACTACTGTTTCTAATTAGGTGGCTCAAAACATGTCAAGCTTGGTTATGTAATTTCTCTTATTTTTAACTGTACCATAACTGTACGTGATGTTACATTTTAGCTTCGGGTCACAAACAGACCAACAAATATACAGCGGAGATAAACTCTGTTATGGATTGACAAGGCCTAAATTCCCCTTGGCTGTTAGAAAAACTGCAGCTTGCATTACTCAGAAGTGGATTTGAGTACAAGCTAAATAATTGTATTCCCTTTTTGAGGTGCAATATCCAATCGATTCCAGAAGTTGTTATCTTGAACTGTTTCATAATGAACTTGTTTTGTTCTTCTCTTTGTTTACTTCAATTTCCAGGATGTTACATGGTGATCCCTAGAGATTGAATCCGAACTTGTTCCATATCATTTTTTTGTACCGTTAGTTTACTGTCCTGTTAAATTGGCCAAATCAATGTGTTTTCTAAACCTTAAAGCATCACAATACTACGGTGGCCAACAGGTGCAAACGCGTTACAGAGGCCCAAAACACTTTCATTAGGAGAAACACACTGCACCTTCAAAAACGATGCAAATATAAAAACGCTTATGTGCCAGAACACATGCAAATGAAGAAGCATTTTCACAAACTTGACAACACATGACCAGCATTTAGAAAACATTCACGAAACATGCACAGGGTTTTCTAAAAGCGCTGCATTAATTAAGCGCAAAATTACTATTAAAAAAACAAAAACCATTAAAACCATACTTTTTACAGGACATGAACACACAAGTTCAGAGTTCACACACACACACACACACACACACGCACGCACACGCTCACACACACACACACGCACACACACACACACACACACA